AATAAACGGCAAGGTAAAGACTATGTCTAATTATAGTAAACGTACTGCGTGCGTGACTCGAACCGGCGCTCGCGTACGGCACCTAATCGCCTAGCTTCACGCCACTACACATCTTCCCCTCGGCCACCGGGCATCCCCAAAAAAGGATGCTTAATAACCGAGCTTATTACATGCAGAGAACATGAAACCCGTCCACGTGAACCGCGCCACACAGCGTGGCCAGAATGCGGCAAAGGCCTTCAGATCTGGCTGTACATGTAGTAGGATGGGGAAAGTAATGGTACAGCATTATTATCGAGTCACGCACGCAGTACGTGTTTACTATAATTAGACATAGTCTTTACCTTGCCGTTTATTCAGTGTTATTTGCTTACTTTACTTCCTATGTCGACAGCAACTATGAGTTTTGAATTAACATGGCGGATATCGTATCGAATCGAGCATTTATATTTGATCAAAATCATTCGCTTGTGGTGAAACTAAGTTGAATTTTCACAACAATTCAACAAATTTATTTTTTGTACATTATTGTAATCACTACTGATTAATAATCAGCAATTGTAACACTTCAAAAACAAGTAAGTTATTCACTTGTGTGAAACGCAGCATGACCGTTACCGTGATCATTTGCAACTAAGAATGCATTCGTTTTTGTTTTGACTTCTTTTAGAATATACTTTTCGTTATCAAAAAAAATAAGAAAATAAATATATATTACATTAAATAATATACTGAGTATTTTTTTTTTATCATGCGAACATTTTTTTTTTTATTGACTTTGTTTATTTTAATTTCCCCGATGTCTAGATTAAACATGGAATGTACAGTCACTCTGCTGGAAGTCGAACATGCCGCAATCGACTGTGTCAGACGGCTGTCTGCACGGTTACTAAAAGAGTGACCGGTGCTAACGAATTAGTCTATTCAAGAGATTGTAGTATACAGTACCGTAATCTGCAAATGCATACAAATCTACTTGTAGATATTATTTATTGTGCAGTATGTTATACAGTGTGAAAGTTTGTCTGTGTGTAAAAATCCGAAAGTGCCTTAGAATCACAACGAAGTTGCAATCGAGTGTCGTGCATCTCATTAGCATATCATTATCCCACTGTTACCGAAGTGAATGCTCTAATTAAAGCCGCACCAAGACTTCACGCATCTGAATTCGTCCATTGAAAAAATGAATTTTAATTAAAGCCTCAATTAGGAATTTTACGGTATGTTACATATGTCATTGTTAAAATTCTGCTTTATTAAATAATTTTGAAATTATTTGATTCATTTTTGTCTGTTCATTATGTATATAGTGCACTGATGTACCACTGTCACACTGACCAAAGATTATTTTGAAGGACCTGGATTTCAGTTTCAATGTAGAGAATGTTTTGAAATCTGATAGGCCTTTAGCAATATACACTGTAGACTGCATTGAACAACATTTTTCTTGTCTACCAGAACTGACAATTTAATTAATAACAAACAATAACACCGTTTGAAACAGCTCTGAATGTTACCTGGAAAAAAACTGCCTTGCACAGCAACACAGCAACATAGTAACATAGTAAGACAGCACACTGCGTTAGGATTTGCTGGTTGTAACATACACACCTTTATATATGTGGTTGTAACTTACCAGATGAGTGTCATTGGATTGCTTATAGTGGTGATTATAAAGTTTCTTTAATTCTTCATAAGCCATGAACTGCAATGCACCATGGGATACCCCAAATAACCCTGGTACTAATCCCTAAATGGAAAACGAGAACATTGTTAGCAGATAAAGTTACTCTCTGAGATCGTCTATAAATAGCTCAATTTTCGTAACTGGGAATTGTTTTTAACTGCCTCATGAAATTGAAGTGGTTAACTGTATATTATGTGAAGCTTTTGAGGGTTTTGATTTTCACAAAAATTTCACAAAATATTAATAGATTTTTATTGCTTTTTAACACATCCAAATGTTTGGCTTCCCATTTTATTTTAAGGTATGTTCAAATTCATGTTCTAATGGTTTCTCTTCTGATGAGCAGAGATTCTCAAAGATGTCTATGTTTGTAATTACTGTGACCTGCTGTAATCAGAAACAATGACAAATAGGGAAGAATTCTCTAATATTTCCTACAATCCATGCATATTCATACAATCAAAGATGTCACATAATAGTGCCATGACCTCATTAAAGTTTTAGAAATGATTTCACAGTCCAACTTTATGAATACCGGTAAGTAAGTGGTGGTCAAAATAAACATGTACATACAAATTTATGACATCTAGTCCATTTCAATCAACGTTCTTTAACGAACGTTTACAACTGACCCCAGTTTGAGCACAAAATCGGCACCATTTGGAAGCAACAAAATCAACTTTTATAAGTACTAGGAAACCTGAATTGAGATCAGTAGCTAAATTTTGCAAACATCAATGTAACACCCACTTTGAAAAACTCTGATATTAAACATAAATTCACTTTTTTCCTCACGATTCAGTTTGAGCACAAAATCGGCACCATTTGGAAGCAACAAAATCAACTTTTATAAGTACAAGGAAACCTGAATTGAGATCAGTAGCTAAATTTTGCAAACATCAATGTAACACCCACTTTGAAAAACCCTGATATTAATTAAACATAAATTCACTTTTTTCCTCACAATTCAGAAAATGTCTCCTAAAATTAAAGCATTCTACAAAACTCACCCTATAGAGTCCCCTGATTCCCTCGTATCTGTAAATTTTAATTAAAGCATCGGTCATTCCTTTATATTGCTTGGGTTGAGTTTTAACGACAGACTTGGATACATTACGTACACCTTCATACTGTAAACAGAGTCTTGTTTTAACCACCCAGATGGGATTTGTCAATAGTAACGTTAGAACACCTAGAAATTAGAGAGAAATTATTTTATTAATTTCAGCTGTGTGTAGGCAGATGATCTGATTCAATATGGCTGTCTGAAATTAAGGGAATGAAAGTTCCTGGACTTGCACATCTTGACAGCAGATAAGCAAGAATATGATATGCAAATGGCCATCTCGTTTAGACAGAAAGTCAAGACACATGATTTTGCTCTTTAAATAGTATTCTATTCTTTCGTGTTCATGGTTACAGTAGACAGGATGATGACGAAAAATGAAATACTACTTGTGGCTACCTCGCTCTAAACTATATCTCGGTCTATTTCTATCCGACAAACCTCACAACTTAAACCTCACAACTCTAACTTAAATGTTGTTGTACAATATGAATCTCTTTACTACATTTAATCTTGAAAATTGTAAATGACACAGTGTGGACAGACAGACAGATGAACATAACCCAAGTTAATGGTTTCCTCGAAAATAATACGAGTGTCTTTGACATTGCAACTCAGCTATCTTGAATCAGATCTCAATAAAGAAAAAATATCGGTTATGAAAATTAGGATTCAAGCCTATTACATGTCTAAAATGGCCAAGAGTCGGCCGTATATGAATGAATAAAAAAAATACTATGTGAACCAAAGAAATGGATGGATGGGTATAACCTAAATCAGGAACTACAAATTACCTGAGGAAGCGGCAGCTGTTATATGTTTACCCGGTCCAAGCAATTCATTTTGACTGTCCTGCATATGAGACTTGATTGCATTATAACTGAAATAAACAAAACATGACACAGTGTTACTATGTACTTACAAAGTGTTACTATGTACTTACAGTTTTACTATGTACTTACACAGTTTTACTATGTACTTACACAGTTTTACTATGTACTTGCACAGTGTTACTATGTACTTACACAGTTTTACTATGTACTTGCACAGTGTTACTATGTACTTGCACAGTGTTACTATGTACTTGCACAGTGTTACTATGTACTTACAGTGTTACTATGTACTTACACAGTGTTACTATGTACTTACAGTGTTACTATGTATTTACAGTGTTACTATGTACTTACCAAGTGTTACTATGTACTTACAGTGTTACCGGTACTATGTATTTACAGTGTTACTATGTACTTACACAGTGTTACTATGCACTTACAGTGTTACTATGTACTTACACAGTGTTACTATGTACTTACAGTGTTACTATGTACTTACCAAGTGCTATTGTGTACTTAGTGTTACTGTGTACTTACAGTGTTACTGTGTACTTAGTGTTACTACGTACTTACAGTGTTACTATGTACTTACACAGTGTTACTATGTACTTACAGTGTTACTGTGTACTTACAGTGTTACTATGTACTTAGTGTTACTATATACTTCCACAGTGTTACTATGTACTTACAGTGTTACTATGTACTTACACAGTGTTACTATGTATTTACAGTGTTATTTGTACTTACACAGTGTTACTATGTACTTGCAGTGTTACTATGTACTTACACAGTGTTACTATGTACTTGCACAGTGTTACTATGTAAGATTAATCATTATTGAAGTCTTTAATTTTGATAAATTGGGAAATTTTATTTTGACAAATAACATCTAATTTTAGAGTTTATTCTGGGCCCAGGACTCGGTATTTGGAAAGAGATTGGGTTGGAAGTTTGACATACGGTAATATACTTTATTTTAGCTGAAATTAATTTTTGCTTAAAGGATTTTTTGGGTGTTTTGCATGGAATTTATTTTCACTGATTTTAATGTAAGTTTAATGTAAAATATAGAAAATTATTGGATTTTATTTTCACTGAATCATGAAAAATAATATTTCAAGTATTTTCGGTATTGTGTAAACACTGACACATGGTGTAGTGAATCATAATAAACCACATTAAAAGTTAACAGATCATAAATCATGTTCCAATGCCTTGGACTGAAAATGTGCGAGTATAATGTCTAATATAGGAAAAATATAAAACATTCAGTACACTATTTATCGTCTATGTACCAAGTTTGATTTCATCTGGACAGTGGGTATTTGAATGATAAGCAGAATTGTCAAATAAAATGGCTGACAGTTGACTAAATTTGGTTAGACAGATACTTTTTTTTGGGGAGAGTTAGAATACAAATGCATACAAATTTTAAATCTAACTGAACACATGAATTTGTGATATACCGGTGAGTAGAATTGTGCAACATAAAAAAATAGGCCAATGTCCTGTTACCATAACAGTTTTTGCCAAAAAACAATATCTGGTAACAATATTTTGTTTGGGAAAGAAAGGAATAAAGTGTTATTTACATATGTACCGGTAACATATGCATGGATTTCCAAGGAAACCTGATAAGGCATGCGCATAATTGCAAAGTGTTTACAAATTTCTTTGAAATCTTGAGATACTGGTGGAACACACGCTTACATAATGTACAGATATTCATAATACAGGCACTAAATATAAATAAACTCCTATTGTGTACCTTGCACACCAAAATCTAGAACACATCTGGTCATATGCAAATTACTGCACTCACCACATGCAAGAATATGTTGGAAAATATATAAAAACACTTGATGACCAAACCATTCAAAATTATTTACTAAACAAGGTGCATGAATTTCCACTAAATTCTTATCCTATGCATCTATATATACCCAGTTTCAATAAAATCAGATTATCAGTTATAACCATACTGGTACAACAGATACATATACATATAAAAATTTGCATAAATCTGCTGACAAATAATATGATACATTTAGTCAGCTCTGACACATTGTGTTTTACACAGAGTTGTTGTGGAATTCAAGAACAAGCGACCTGACGGTCGATTTGCTCTACTGTCCTACAGTACAAGAATGTTGTGGTAGACACATAGAGCAACATACACCCATAAGACTTATTCTTAAAAACTGCCAGCTCAATTTGATACCAGGTATCAAAGCAATTCAAAAATTGTGAAATTATTTGCCAGAAATAGAGAATTGAAATGTAATGAACAAATCTGACAGTGGTCCACCCAAAGTCCACCTACATACCAAGTATCAAAGCAATTGAGCTGGTGAAATTACAGGCAGCCTCTAAATGACTGAGACAGCTCTGTTGTTCAATTGCTACTAGAGAATTAAAGATATTATTACGAAATGTACAATCTGAGAGAGGTCTACCTGAGATACTTATATGTATAATATCAAAGCAATCAGACTTGCTGTTTTCAACAAGAAGTCCAAAATATCACTTTTTACCAAATATGACAAAAATATTCACCAAAATTAGAGAATTAAAGATATCATGATGAAATGAACAAATCTAAGAAAGGTCTACCCAAGGTACCATATTTATCCGGGTATAAGCCCAGGGTCCTGAACATGGAAAATTGCCAAAAAGAAGGGGTGGGCGTTTGCCAGGAGATCCCCGGCAAAAAAACGAAAATTCGCGAAAATTGACAACATGCAGATCGAACTGTGGCAGGGAATAATGTGACAAATAAACCAGAAATAATAAAAATTGACAGTGAGGAATCATTTGAATTAGGATTTTCCCACCGACAAACACGCCCAATACGCGTGAACAAAAATGTCAGCGGTTAAACTGCGTAAAATGATTTCCGGTCTCGACAAATTACGAATCAACCGTCATACAAGATCAATAATAATTTACAAATTTACACAGTAAAAATTATAAAAATTCATAGCTGTATGAAAAAACTTCTCAGATCTTTATTTGTACGTTCATTGCCATCTTCGTCAAACTCAAAACCCTCAAAGTCCAAGTCGGCGTCACTGTAGCCGTCGAACAAAATCCCTACAACTTATTCCAACACAATTTGGACTTAGCACTTTTAATCCACAGATTTCGCAGTCTGTCAGCTTGGCACTTTTCATTCATGTCTAATCATATTAAAGAAACAAGAAAAATGGGGTCGCTCTGCTGCGATGGCACACGATGCTTTTGTTTACAGTCTAGCAATTATCTTTGACCTTTATGCATCTGCTTTACTGATTGGCTAAGAATGACATCATCACTACTGACACCACTAACTGCAAGGGAATTAGGACAAATCAACAAAAATATACAAACATCATTCATATCAACTTGGAAAAGTGAATTACATAATGACAATCGATCAAAACAAAATGAAAAAAATAAATTAAGAACATACAGAGAATTAAAAAACAATTTTGCTTTCGAAACATACCTTTTTACCCTGAAAAA